TAACATCAGTGCAACTGTGTCTGTAGAGCACAACACAAACAGTGGGCTCGCCTACATTAGCAACAACATGACAGTTGTTGTGAACGGCAGCCTGCAATCTGTGCCAAAGGCCCAGCATCAGCAGACACAAAACCAGTCCGACAGCAGCAATGGCAGCAGCTATAGATGGAAGGAAGAGATACCCTGAGAGTAGCATATAGCAGGATAGCCTGAATACAAAAACATATATAAGTGCGTGTATGTATATTTATATATCTATATATATCTAGAAAGAGAGAGAGAGAGAGCTTTCATAGCTAGCTTGCTCGCATTAGCAGGGTCGTTCACTCACCTACACGGAGACTCGGCTCTGTCCACCCCGCCAGATAAACAAACCACTGCTAACGGCTACATTATAATATATTACAACACCTCCGTCGCGTAAAGCACCGCAAAAAAATAAAAAAGACTAAACTGCTACTCAGATTTAACTGCGACAAAGTAGACCTCACACTGTGCCGCACCAGGGATGGTATACAGCTGCCTTTCTACCTAAGCTGAAGATGTAACAGTGGTTGGTGAGAGGCTGTTTGTCCCCTAGCAATAACCAATCGAATTGCTTTTTTTCTTCTTCTATTAATTTTATGTGTTTTCAAGTGACAGAAAGTCTGTGGGGCTTTGCCGCCCCCAAATGGAAAGTTGTGGAAGTACAGCGTAAACCAGGGCAAAGCACAAAGTGTATACTGTATAATGATAGTAGTGAATTCTGTTCTGTTTTGTTTGTTACATTATTTTATATTATACTAATTCATATATTGATTTAAATGTATACTTTATTTATTTATCATATAAAGTTCCTTATTTCCACTGGGATCGACACAGTGGATAAATTACTTTGCTTAGCTTTTACTGATGCAATCTGGTTATTTATCCAGTCTTTTATTTGTCATAGTATATTATTATTTTATTGATTATATAGACTCTTTTACTTTAAGCAGCTATACCTGATGACGACAGTGACGAAGAAGAAGATATAGATAACACATGACATACTTTACAAGTGTCATCAGTTTCTCATATAATGTTGTTACGGCTGCTGTCGTAATGTTGTCTAAATATGCAAATCTCAGTGTGCAGGTGCCTCTCCGTGATTGGTGGATCCAAAGGACTGACCATACGGACTGGCTAAGTAGTTGGACACGACTTATATAATGGCAGTGCATCAGGAGATCTTTTGTTACTTGCCCAGTGCCATTCACCTTATACAGGAGTATGTAGGGATGAACTACCATTCTGTTTGATTATATTATGTTTTCCATAGTTAGGGGGGCATGTTGCTGTCATTTGGTTTAATTCTTATGAGCAGGTAATCGTCGAGGTAGGCCCCTTTTTTTTGTTGTTTTGGCATTAGGTCCATCTTGAAGTTATAACCACCTCCTTCTTTTGTGAAAAATAACCTAACGAATCAAATTATGGTAAATAAATCATTGTGAAACTTTACCAGTTGTGTGATGTGGCTGCATGGGGTCTGACGAAGATAGATCACCCTTGTGTTGTGGTCTGGCCACCCCTAGATGGGCCATAACAACGTAAATTTGCATGTTTTTCTGCTATTCCTGGGTTTTAGATGAATTATTGTATAAATGCATTCAATCAAAACCTACAGCACAAATCTAGATGGGCAAACATGAGCTGATGAGTTAAACATATATGTGCTCCACCAAGCAGCACCTAGTGCTTTCATAGGTTACTAACATACACTAATACTATAAATGGCACCTGCTTAATGAGGAGTTTTCTAATACGTTTACATGAAACTTGAATTTTTTTTATTATTATTCCCCATTTAGTTCTATCGTTTTTTTCAAATTGCTCCATATTTTAAACTTTTAAACTCATTTCAGTCCTCCTGTTATAGCATACAGAGCCAGGACAGAAACATGGGACAAACACAGCAGAAATAAACAAAAAAACAAATCAATTATCAGCGCCGGAATCTAACGTGAGAGCAAACCAGGAAATAACACGAGTGCAAAGGTGATATGAGCATTACATAAAAGAGGAAAAATGGAAACAATGCAACAGAAAGTCTGTCAAAGACAGGTGAGGACAGGATAGACAGATGAAGGACAGATGGTGAGAAAGAGTTAAAGAATGAGGTGCATGTAAACATAATCCTACAGACGTGAAGACGATCAGTAAAAAATAGACAAAACATGTGAGGAAAACCCCCAGCAAGGTAATACAGGAAGTAGCCAAATGGAATATACTAGATACAAGATGATAACAGAAACATGTAGGCGAGCATGTAGATGGGACAGGGTTACCATCATGCTTCTGGAAAGGCCTTTCAAAAGCCCTTACCTCAACTGCATTGAAAATTTGTGGACTATGTGTAAAAGCTGGGTCCCTGTAATGAAACCAACCAGTTCAAACTAACTGTGCCACTTCTGCCACGAAGAGTGGCCAAAATGTTCAGCCAGAATTACGCCTGATGGCTACCAAGAGTGAATAGGTGAGATGCAACTTGCAAAGCAACATTTAACCAAATATTAGTGGGGATGTATGCATATATTTGACGCTGTATGACCCTGTGTAGATTAGAGATTACGTAAAGTTAAACTTGTACCCAATTCTTGTCTTTTTTGTTTTGTTTGTTTTTGAAGTAATTAAAAATGTATGCTTTACAATCATTTTGCCCTTGAAAAAGAACAGATCAATTAAACAAAAAATCATTAAATTACCATGACATTAATGCCCATGATGAGTATATAAAAACTTCTGACCAAAATTGTATATACTGTTGATTTGACACACTCAACAGATATCAAACAAAACACTGTGGTTGGATGGCAGCAGATGACTTGCAACAGGTGGTGGCTAGATTATATCTATCTATCTATCTATCTATGCATATATATATATATATATATGTGCGTGTGTGTGCATGTGTGCATAGCGAGAGTGAGTACTCAGTACTTTGGGAAAGCTCCATGAAGGCAACAAAAAGCAGTGATGAAGATCTGACCTGTAGAAACCTTTTAACAACTTTTAAATCTATTACATCAGTATTGCTAACATTGCCAAACACTCTCTTTCTGGCATGTTGGATGATCTCTAAGCCAATATATGAAAAAAAGAGCAGGGTGTAAAACTGAAAATAAAACATAATGGAGTACGTCCAATCAGACCCCACCCCATGAGATCGTACAAGTCATCATTTTATGTATTAGTATCAGTGTTTCTTTATCAGCCTCTCACATCATTATGGAGGAATTTTGGCCCACTCTTGGTGTTTGTGGTCATTTGATTACGCATAGCTCTCTTAAGTTCCTGCCACACAATTTGACTTAATATGGGCTCTGGGCTATTGCAACACCTTGACTCTTTTCATTTTCTCATCTCATCGTCATCCATAGGCTTTCCCATGGCAGCCTTTCCAAATAAGGCGCATGTGTTCAGTTTTCTAATTGTACTGTCGTGACTTTTAACATTTAACATGCTCACCGAGGGCTAGAGAGCCCGATATGTAGCTCTTGGGCTTTTTGCAGTTTCTGACGTCTGATGAGGAGCAAGACTTGCTTCTTTAAGATGATTGCTGATGTCTTTCTTGCTTGGCACTGTGTTAACACACACTTGAATGCTGCAGACCAGCAAACTGCCAAAACCTTTGCTTTTTTGCTGTGTGGTTGTTTTTTGTTGACAGTTAAGCCAATAAACTGAAAGCAAAACTGGTGTGATGATGAAGACAATAACGAGCTACTATCTTTATTTGCTTATTTGCTTTTTTAAGATGTCAAACACATGATGAGGTTACTTCATGAAAGCGCAAATAAAGAAGAAATGCATGCGCTCCTTAAGGCAAAACAGTTGTTTACTCTTAGGCCCACAAGATCAGTTAAGTTTTGGCTCAGGGGAAAAACATATGGGGAGTTTTTTTTCTTTGTCTCTCCTCACCTGTACAGCACTACAGGTAAAGAAATATCCAACTGTCGTATTTTGTGGAGAAATGCAAATGGTAACCAGTACACCAATAATAACATTTGTTTATACTGGTTTGAGAAAAGCAAGCAACAGTATCTTCATATAACTATACAAAGATTGTCCTATATTAATATTACATATTACATATAGATATAGATGTATAACACCATGCTACTGCTGTTTGTGTAACGCTTCAGCTGCCAATATTCCAGTAGGGGGCACTATAATCTTCATACTACACATTAAATTAGTGAAGTAATAAAATAACATATGATAATATGTTATACTACTCCCTACCCGATCCTACTCCCAAGAACAACAACTACCTCCTAAAAGTTCCACTCAACCGCTTTTTTAAAAAAAACTAAACTTACATTAAATTCATTTGGGATTTTCTAAGTGATTATTATTGATCAATGAATCATTCTCAATTATTTCTTTTTGCTTTTGATGGCATATATACACAGGCAAATAGTTTTAAGTGCTTAAAAGTAACTATCAAGCGAAAGCAAAAGTAAAAAGGGGGAAAAAAAGATAAACAAAGTGCAAAGCATGAAGAGCCCAGCAACTATGGTCTCTGTAACAACATTACAATTGACAACAACTCTAATAGAAATCCATGTGCAAAAGAGTTAAAATAGGAATGTCATCCTTTGGTGGTAGACATTAATATTGCTGCACAAATGTCTATGCTTCCAGTAGATGGCATTTGACAAACTGGTATTGTGTTGTGCTCCTTGATGAAAATACACTGCATGTCCTCTAATGCTCTCAGGTCTAAGACTTATTCATGATTCCTAAAAATAGAATGACAGGTAGAGCCTTTAATAACAAAGTTATTAAATCCACCCATGAAATTTAGCCCAGTTTAGTTTAGTTTTTGGCAAAACTTCCCCAAGTTCTTTTTAAACAGAGGGAAACATAGTATTTATAAACATACCAGTTTTCTTTAGAACCATAAACGATTTCTATTTGCACACATTAACTGACAGAATTTCTTGAGAAGTATCAAGAAATTACAAAGTGCAAAATAGTACAGATCAAACCTGGCAGACTTAGGAAGCGAAAGATTTCAAAGACTTTGGAAAGAAAACTAGTAAGAGATGTGTCTAAAGACCCCAGAACAAGTGCCAAGACACTACTGAATAACTTAGCCAAGAGAGGTAGTCTCAAAGAAGATGATCACTAGACCCTTGCACAGCTATGGACCGCGGGTTTGTAGACCAAGACAAATTCCACTTCTGCAGATGAGAAACCTTCAAGCCAGACTGAAGTATGCTAAAGACAACCTAGAGAAAGATTATACAAACTAAACTTTGGTCAGATGAAATAAAAAAACTAGAACTCTTTGGCTGCAGAGATGCTGCTTATGTTTGGAGAAAGAAGGGAGAGATGTACAACCCAAACACTGTCCCAACAGTGAAACACGGTGGGAGGAGTCCAGTGGGTGGAAGGAATCATAAAGAAAGAAAGACGTGAAGAATTGAAAGAAAATGTCAATCAGTCCACAATAAAAAAACTGAGTCTGGGTCATCACTTTGTCTTCCAACACAGCAACAACCCATGCATACGTCGATGGAAGAAGGGCCTCCAGAAAACCAAAAAGAATGTAACTCACTAGCCTGCACAAAGCCCTGACCTGCATCCCATTAAAAATCTGTGAGGTGAACTAAAGACCAAGCACCATGCCAGATCACCAAACCCAGAGGACCTTGAGAGATTCAGCAGCAAAGTGTGAGCTGGGATTGCTGAAGCAACAAGGATACATAACTGACACTTAGCATCAGAAGGCCATGAATTCTGATGCTAAGTGTCAGTTATGTATCCTTGTTGCTGGATAAGTCTCACACACGTCTCCTCAGCAATCCCAGTCATTTTGACCCTGGTAGTTTTTGATTTTTGTGAACGAATTTTGTCTCTGTGCAAAGTAAAAAACATATAAGCATCTAAAATAAAACTATGATGTGTTAAAGATTCCTTAAAGAAAATTTCATTTTTATTTTATTTCATTCAGCCTAAATTTATTTTATCTTCTGCATCCAGTAGAAAAGAAGGTAACCCAAGGTAACCCTTCACCATCTCTTAAGTTGTTGGGAGACTTCCCATGATGCACTGTGAGTGTTTATCCTCCACTCCTCTCTTTTCCTTCCCCGTGTTCCTTCCTCTCATCTTTCAGCTATTTGTCTGTCCCTTCCTGAGCATGGTACTTGAGGTCTTGTCCTGCTGAAAAGGAGTTCTTCCTGCTCACTATTGCCATGTGCTTGCCCGTAGGGATTGCTAGATTATGGGGGTCTTCTTTCTAATATTTTTGACCTAATGTGAAGGTGACAACTCTTCTTGTAAACTGGTGCCACATAAATTGAGTAAATTTGTTGAGTAAACCACATTACATGTAAATAGATGTACTTTCTTTTCATAACTTGGGATGTTCCTAACTTTCATGTAGTACTGTAAATATAAACTTAGGATAAATAAATGACTAAAATGTTGGATGTCTCAAATAACCATAAAAACACTCTATATTTTCCAGCTAGTGGCAAGGCGATATGCCACAGTCACCTTTGTCTCTAGCCCTGCACTTTTTAATTCACAGGAATCTTGTTTCTCACCTAGCGCCTAGGACCCCTTCAGATGTAAACACGGCTCCAAGCTGCCCAGCTCCTAATCCTCACAGCTGCTAACTACTGTGCAGGTCCTGCAGCCTAGAACTGTTCCCATTATCTCAACATATTTTAGCTTTGAATTTCAGCTCCTTGACTGCTGACTCATTTTTAAAAGGGTGTCATTTGTTCTGTTATTTCAGTTTTGATTTAGTGAATTCTTTGTTGGAGGGCTTTCAAATCTCACTCTAGAGTAGTGACTCTCAGTGAAATCTATTGCATTTCAGTACTCTCCCAAATGTTTCTTGTCCATGGAGCTTTGGCATATTTTGTTTCTATCTTATAGTTTTGCAGCTGTTATTGATTACATTTGGTTTTTTCAGCATGATTTAGCCCCTTTGTCTGTGGTCTGTCAATTTTTAGTATTTGTTGCATGATATGAAAATATTTTTTTTCTCAAGAAAGCCAAGTTAATACCTTCATGAAGGAATCACACAAATATCATTTAGTTATTCAAAACATACAAGGATAACTCCACATGAGGTTTTGGTACACACATGCACTCACACACACACACGCACACACACACACACACACGCATGCTCTAAAATTTAAAGCAAGCCCATTGTTGTTTTATGCAAAGTGTCTGAAGCTGGATAGGTCGCACAGAGACATATGCAAATCAGCCAGAGTCATCAGCAGGGTGTACTGCTGAGGTGAATGCTTTCCCACTTAGGAAAATTCTGATGAGCAGCAGTAAGAATTACAAAACTTCTTATTCCAACATTCACTTGCTTCCTTTTGAATACTTAGACAGTGGAGGAGACAGCAGCTGGAGCAGCACAGGCTTTAAACTCAAGGTGAGTCACTACTCCAACACCTCTGTTCATCAATGACATTTTAATATCTTTATTTCATTTTAAATGCACGAGTTGAGTTTTAAGAAGAGTTCCTGTGCCGCGTGGTTACGCCATATGGAGATGAGTGCCGTATGGGGCTATCGGCCTTGCTTATGAATATTACAAGTAGGGATTACACAGGAGTGTGTAAAGTTTGTGCGGTGGTGTGGAGGGGAGGGCGCATTAGAATAAACTCAAGATCATTTTCCTGGGTGGCCTGAGTGCTTCATTGTCCTGGTAAAGTTACAATCCTGTAGGAAAATCAGCTATATTTATCATTACAGATATTAAGATGAGCGCAGACACGGCAGAGCACACGGAGGCTCCAGGTGAACAGACGGGTAAGGATATTTTACCTTCTTCATGGTGCACGGATGGAGTTTGGAGTCTAGAAAGTTGTAGATTTGGCCACTGCAGCTATCTTTGGGGAAAGATAGTGAAAAGTTACAGGTTTATTTAAACTAATGTTGACATGGCGCCAACAGCTTATTAAAATCTCTTTAAACTAAAATATTCTGAAGTTTTAGGTACTTTTTATAAAAAGGTGAGCATCTTTAATATGGCCATAAAACATTATAAAAGCAACATGCACCTGTCTGGAAAAGGTGTATTTGTGTGGGGAAAATGTGACAGTTGGTTTCGCTTGAGGATGCCCAGAGGCTGAGGATGCCAAGCAGCCACGAAATAAAACCAGGAACCAGCAGCAGCAGAAAATGTGGAACTTTTACTCAGACAATAGCTGTGCGAGAGAAGTGAACAGCTCAGTTTCGTGGAAGTGACAAATATCTGTACTTTTGCCAACATATGGTCAGGTGCACAGCTGCATTTCTTTTCCCCACAGAAGATATTTTGATGCAGCTAATCATTTCATTAGTCATGTGATGATCTATTTTAAATGGATTAGTCACCAAATCAGTGAATACACACTGATGTATCTGCAGATATTTCTATTTGTCTGGATGTTTCGAGGGGATTTTAGCCTCCACTCAAGCGCGGTTGAGGTGAATAAAATGTCGACTCAAAAACCGAGTGTTTTAAGAGGTGCTTCTTCCCAACGAACACAAAAATGGGGACATTTACTCAGGGAATAAATTGCTGTTGACGGTTTTGACATTGTTTTCAGTGTTGTGGGCAAACAGAAGCCCCATTGAGGTGCAGTGTAGATAGCAATCTCAGAGACAAACCTAAACAAATCAAAAGTATCTGCACGCTAACAGAGATACAACTAGATTTTCTTTTTTTTCCTATGTGAACTTCATAGTCAAGAGAATCAGGATGGGACAAAGTTGCCCTTTCTTAAAGGGCAGAATCCACCACAGATATGTTTGGACTATTGGATGGAAATGCTCTATTTACATTAGGCACGGGAACGTAAGTTTGAGTAAAGCTTTCAAGAAGCATCAGATACAGCACCTTCTTGCATGCTATGAATTTTCACACAGCTGGACTTCAAACAGACTTCCTACTTGAGAGCTGAGATGTTAAAGACTGTTTAAAGCATGATATGGGAATGTGTGCTCTTGTATACAGCTTTGCCTGGCAATGTCTAGAAAAGTTCATCTGTATGTGAAAACTGCTCGCTTTAAGATAAACTAGAAAGCAAAAACGGCAGAATATGAAGTGTTCTTATCTCAGGAGGATCTGCACCTGCTCACTTACTGCAAAACTGTTGCTAAGAAATAATGTTTACATTCACGCTGGATGCATTCCTTATGTTCAGAGGCGACTTTTATTTTCAGTGCAGGCCTGTGACAATCCAGGTGTAATTAAACAACAGAAGATTGCGGTGAAAGGACAATAACCTCCTCTTTCATATTTGTACTATTAAACAGGAAATAAAACATTGGTGTTTTCCCCCCACTTTTCCACTTTAATTAAGCCCATGCTCACTTTATTTAAACTGGGTGCTGGGTGCGCTTCACTGCATTTCGTCGCCCTGTACCTGTGCATGTGCAATGACAATAAAGTTGAATTCTATTCTATGCCTCACAGCACGTGTGATTAATAAAACATTTCCTTGTTCTTGTCAGAAGAAATCAGCTGCTTTTAAACAAAATTTCTGGAACACCAAAACTTGATATTCAGTATAAATGTGCAACATTGTCATGTTGCATTCACTAGCTTTGTTTGTACTAACATGTGGAAACACTATGAGCTAACGGCAGGACAAAAATCCGTTTACAAGTTAAGGTCTTCTCTGGAGACTGTGCAGGATCAGAGAGAGGAATCAGTGGGAGGATGCAGTTTTACAACCACACTCCTCACTGACACAGTTCCAGTAAGGAGTGAACATTATTGCCATTTTCCTTTGTTTATCTTTCTTTAAAACAAAGTCTTCCAGATGTCTGAAATGCTGCACGTTTTTAACCTTAAATGTCACCCAGTTTCACTGAAAAGCAGCAAGCGAATATAGTTTTCCTGCAAATATCTGATAAAGTATTGACTTTAACAATTTTTTCAGCATCTTTAACTTTAAAAGGACAACTACTGTACATAATCTATATCTTGCAATAACAGCAAGAATTTTATCAGGATATAGTCTTCTTTTTTCTTACAGATGCCTATTTAAAAGCCATTAGTCCTGTTCTAGACTATGAAACACAGTGTGCCAAGCATTTTTTTATGCTAATTTATTGTTAATTACAAAATTCTGTACATAGCAGCAACATTTAATACTTGTGTTTTAGCCAGTTTCATTTAAACTGCAGTTGTTCTATGCAGAGAAACAGGCTCATGGGAAACACATGACTCAGACTTGTTGATAACTATTTGGTAACTAGATAAGATTAATAAAGAGAGGAGCCCCGAAAAGCATAAGAACAGAGTTGAAGAAATTCTAAGGAAAATGAAAACAGAAAAGCAAAAACACTACAAGAGCCAGCTTTGGAGTTTACATGGAGCTTGGGTGAGGAGCAAAGGGGCAGGGCAAGGTGAAAAACACTGAAGCTTGACGAATATTTGACCAGGTGTGCCAGGAGGGGGAATCGAGAAGATGATGTCATCGTTCAAGAGGAGGAGGGGTGGGAGTAAAAGAGAAGATTCACAGAGACAAAAGCAGCGACTGAGTTTAACTTTTACCAGATGTAACAAAAAGGAAAGAAAAAGCACTGACATCTTAAAATTGATATTTTAGGTGTTTACAAAAATGTATATAAGTCACAGGAATATAAATCATATGATCTTACGCTCTTTGGCCTATAATTGTAAAGGGTTTTTTCATGGGCATGGAGTGTGATTATTTGTTTTTAAATTAATTTAGTTTCAATTTAAAAACTTTTTTAAATTAAGTTTTTAAATTAAGTAGGTAAAGGTGTATTGCATGTGGGCCCATGTGAAGCCACACTTGTCAAAGCAGTTCTAAAAAAAAAAAGGTATATTTGGACTGCAAAAGAAAAAAAGAAAAAATAAGGCACATGTGCATCATTAAAAGGCCTTGAAGCACAGGCCACAGAAGTAATGGATGATCACAGGATCCTTTCCACTGTGAAGAAAAACTGTCAGAACTTCCATCCAATGGCACAACGAATCTAAAATGCCAGAGCATCTCTGAAACAGCACTATTGGACAGATGAAAGTACAATCAACATATACCAGAAAGAAATGAAAGATAAAATAACGCTTATGATCATGATCCAAAGCATATTACATGACCTATAAAACATGATGGGAGGCAGAGGGCTGTTATTGGCATTCATGAGGCAGAAGCAAGCAACTATCAACAGGTTGAAGACTTTAAACAGTAACTTCCTGCGAGACATTCTCGATAAAGATTTTAAAAAACGATAATTTTAATTATGATTATGTCAGCTTGTCCTGGAAAACATAATATATATAAAAAGTATAAAAACGACTGCATCCATATCCAAAACATTCAAAATGTGCTTTGCTTAAAAGATAAAATAATCATGTGGGTGTATCCAAACATATATGGACCTAACTATATCTCATTAACTATCTCTCAAAAAAGTTAACATGTTCAAAAAGGAGCAGGAAAAGGTTTATTTAATTGCTGTCCTTTCCAACTGTTTGGTAACTAATAATCATAACTTGTCTTTCTTGTTTATGCCCAATGCTTTCATAAATCCTTCCCTGCAATTTGCTGACCAGAGCTCCATATTTAGGCTTTTTTCATGCCATGATTTTACAGGGCTTCATTATGGAGACTTTTTTTTGACAGTGCAGGTGGAGCAAATTAGTTTGCTGATAGGAAAACAGGGAAAATCAGAGTGACTGATTATTGTTAGAACACTTTGTCCATGCTTCACAATGTGAACTTGTGACTATAAGCAGATTTTTAGGTAATTTGGAGAGTTAGGGAACAGCTGATGATACTCAAATATGTATGCTTTTCTTATCTGAAAGACCAAAAATCAACAATGAACACATTCATTAACTGTCAGATATTTAAAATACAACAATAGTTTGTTTCTGTCAACATATTGCCACAAATACTCACCAAAGCATCATGATTTGTGCTATTTGTGCATAAAAATAGTCCCCAAAAGGTGCACTGTGTACTTGTGTTTGAGTAACAGCGCCTGTTTTAGAATATGAAACTGTGAACATGTCACTTATTTTCAAAGCCTTCTCTTCATTTGGGCCAGAGCCAGGGTAGAGAAGTACTTTCAGATGAGCTAACACATCACTGCTTCTGGACCAGCAGATTATTCATAGTGTTAAGAATGTAAGGAGGAGGAGGTGGGAAACCTCTCTCTATATATAATATATCTAAGACAAATTCAAATGAGTAGAGTGTTTATATATTCCCATGTGCTCCCTGTGAAGTTTGTAATATCTTAGCTGGATTCTGTTCATTGTTTAAGGACTAACAGATGTAACAGATGAAACTTTTTTTTTCTTTTAGTGTGCGTGACTTTTTGTGTCAATGCACGGTTTGCAAACATCGCTCCGAGTATCTATGTGTGTGCGTAGACACAGGCTTCCTGCGCTCACAGCTGATTTGCATGTCTTGGTCATTTCCATACTGGAACCTAGGCTGTGAAGCTGGCTGTGCCATGGGGGAGGAGGTCTGGTTGGGAGTGGGTGACATAGTGATGGTGGTGAGGAGTTATGGGTGTATTTGCATTGTGTGTCTGCAGCAGCTCACTGCCTCTCTTTTCCCCAGTGCGCGCACACACGCAGTGCAGAGGGATAAATTTGACATTCAAATGATGTGAATTTATCCAGCACACCTCTGTGCTCTCCTCCCCTGTGAGATCGCTCTCTGTCCATTTAACATATGTTTAAAAGTGAGTTTTCTTGAAAAGACTTCAGACTTCTGAACATTGGTGTGAAGAGGGGGCATCTAGATACTTAAACACCATTTAAACCATTTAAATATGGGATAAAATAATGAATATTAAGCAAAAGATTAAAAATTAAAAACCTAAATTAGTTTTCTTTCAATATCATTTAACTAGGTGCCAATTTTATTATCATTAAGTTGGTTGTTTCGTTTGGAAAACTTTAGAAATACAATAAAAAAGTTAAATGTGTACATACATGCTACCAAAACTGATTCCTTCAAGTTGTATTGTCTGACTTAAGATGTTTTCACACTTGCACTGAAGCCCTAAAGTTTCTTGTGAGAACATAAATGTGTGAGGTAGCAGCGTGTACTTTAAACAGTCTTTAATATTCTCACCAGCGTGAGAACAGAGCAAGCAGTTGTCCTGTGAGTGTGCAGCAGGTGAGTGAGCGCCACGGTTCCTTCCTGCTGCACGCTCTACCCAGGAACAGGTCTGAAGTGGATGTCACGTCGTGCTGTGTGTTACACGTGAGGAAGGGCAACTGCAGACAAAGTCCTGACATTTTTCTCCAACATCTTAAAGTCAAGAAAGTCAAACCTCAAAAGTGATATTTTCTTCAGCAGCAAATTCTCACTTTATAAAAACCTGAAATATCTGATGTTGTTGCATCATAAAAAGCTAACCCTACAGCCTTATAGCGATACATTTAACCTAACTCCAAATCTGTTTTTGCTGCATGCAGTCCCATTGTTGCTTTGCATTTAAAATTATACAATTCATTTACATTACGCAGGTTTGTGTAGCTTTAAACTGTTCAACTTGTACGACTGCCACAGAAACTCCTTTATTTAACAGCATTATTTCACTTGAATTTAAAACAAAAGTTTGTCACAAATCAAAGTTTGATTAAGTCTGAATTATTCATTTTTTTCTGTTTTGACTTTCAGAGCGAAACGGAATCGACTTCAGTCGTCAGGTGAGTAGGAGCGCTCACGATATCACTCCCTGTGCTGAAATTTCCACGAACAAGCTCTCTGTTATCAGCAGCATGACTTGTATTGCTTTAAATACAGTAACGGCTTTAAACTACGATGTGTGTGTGAAGCTCACTGGTGCCTTTTAAGGACAAACATGGATCAGATTCACATTATTGACATGCACACATTTACTCAAACAACACATACATATGCTAAACAAATAACTGAAGAGCGCCTGTAACGTCTGACTGAGAGTAGCAGGGAGTGGATAACAGTCTAGAGCATCAAGAGGAAGCAAAGATTAAACTCAATCTCCAGGATCATGATATTGTTATTATTATTACTATACTGCTTTGGATGATTAAGCATTTTCTAATATTTTCATATTAACAGCTGCTCTCTGCAGCACCACAGTCCAGCTTGACATTGTAGGTTTTTAGCATTTTGGGACATATCTTCAGTGGTGAAAAAATAACATTTGCTGTGCTGTTATTGACTTTGTTACTAAACTTTGTGGTTTGGGAAAAGCAACACTACTTACAGACCCAAGATAAGGAGCCAAAAGTCAATAATTTCCCACATTACTGATTCCCAGACTGTTGTCGTCACTTTTTGGAACAAAAGCTGACTGACCTGAGCTTTAGGAGTAGACAGAAGAAATAAAAAATGATCTTTGATTGTTAGTTATTTGAAAAGTGTTTTGTAGAACTTAAATCAGCGACTGATGATCCCTTTTGTTTATTCTTTTAGCAAATGTCACTCAAATGAGTAAATGGTAGATTTTTGCATTCCCAGATTAATACACATTTGTTATTCAGGCCGTGTGAGCCTGCACTTGCGCGACTACTTTTCAATATAGACAGTTTTGGTCTTAAACAAGTTTGCTGATGATAGGAAAACTGTATAACTTTCTGTAACCTTTGACACTCTAAATAACGAAGCTCATTTGCAAAATAAATATCCTCCAGGCATGGGAACGGTGTTGAACCGACTAACTTTTTGACAGTTAACATCCTCAGGAAAATCTGCCTGCTCGCCAATGTGAATATTACTGTAATCTCTTTTGAAACAGTCTGCGGCTGTTTGGATACTTCTCCAAACGTTCTCTCTGGTAGAGGAAAACAGGTCTTTCAGTTCTCGAGCTTTCAGGAAGTGCCATCGCTCTCAGGGGTTAGTTAGTGGGGGGTGTGGGGGAGGGGATATTTGCATACTGACTTACCCAAAAGCAGACAGAGAGAGTCTATCGTTCTTTGTATCATGTTTAGTTACCAAACTGGTCTTGGCAAGGGTTCACAGGTTTTCTGCTTATGTGGTCTGTCTCTACACCAGTGGTTTCCAAACTTTTTCTAGCAAGGCTTCTTTTTGATTAAAATTATTCACAAACCCCACTTACATGTTTTTGTTGGCCAGAAACAATTAAATAAAGAATTTAAATTCCGTTAAAATGAGATTAGATGTCAGATTCACTCATGTTCACTCCCACGGTTCCACATGCCTGGTGGCTCTGTGCCACAGGGGTCTCACACAGCTGTATGAGAAGAACGTTTTTTAATATCTTCATCAGAAGTTAATAGTTTATTGTGTTGTTTGGCTTTGTTTTCCACGTCTTAGATAAAAACAGAGGACATTCATGACTCACCTCATTCAGGCTCCACCGTAAAGACATGCCACCTGACACAGAGCTCTCCAGTGCACGGAGGTCAGCTGACTGGGGTAAGATATAGACTCAGATTTAAAAATGGGAGTGTATTTTATTTTCTTATAGGGAGTACTATAGGGTAACTCTCAGGGAATCAGTGGCATACTCTTATATTAATTTGATTGCTATTGCAGATGCATTCATTTGGAAACAGTTCTGTATTGAGAGTGCAGGAACTTTACTTACCTAGAAAACAACATGTTAACTAACATTATTTTCTGCTTTTACCTTTATTTCATAAATTGGATATTTATAAATTAATGAAACCAAAGTGCTATTACAGACTAAACAACCCAACACTGACTGATTAGTACCATCTCAACCAGCTACAGAGGGGAATTGTACTTACATAGTTATGTATCCATTATGGTAACACAATCTCTGTTTCTAAATGATGTGTAGAGTTTTTTTTTTACTTTTTCAGCTTTAACAGAAACCTTAGAGCGGAGGAAAACTTTAAGAAATGCTAAAATCATTGTGCTCTTAGGTGATTAACTGACAAAAAATATGTTTTTATTTTAATACTTCAAATTCCTACTTTTGCATGTATATTTTTAATGATTTTGTATAATTTTTAAATATTTTTTTAATTTGTGAACTTTTTGACCAATATTTTGCATTTTAGAAATCCGTAGTCATTATCAAAGTACTTCAGCACATTTTATTGCTTTGGTAATTAGCATTTTTCTTTAAATGGTGTTTTTGCTTTTTGTAAGGTAAGTGATAAAATAAGAAATCAAATGCAGTTTTTTTTTTACTACATCTTGTGTTTTATTTTAACACAATCATCAGGAAAAAGTAGCAACAAAAATTGAAATATAAAGTACAAGTAAATTAAAGTTAATTGACTTATTAATTTACTTCTCACTCATTTTTCTTGTGGTGTTTTCTGCTCCAGGAGCTCACATCTCTCCACCCCATGCAGCAGCTGGTTCTGATGCCTCCTTCTCACCTGCCATCTCCCTCCCCCTTCCTTCCCTCCAGTCACCAAGGTGAGGTACCATAAAACATCCAGTCAGATCACAGCTGGAGCCAGAGGCCTGTAGGAATAGTTAAGACCAGTGCTTTCCTTTCAGGGGTTAAAGGCACCATTACATAATAGAATAGACATTTAATAGACAACAACTTTGTACACCACATCTACACATCAGCTGGTTAGCTTACCACAAAACAACCTCTTAATTTGTTATAGCTTGTTTTATAGCTTGCTATCAAGCTTGTATAAAAACAGAAGCATAAAACCAAGCCTGCAGGAGAATTTCTTTCGTACCCAGGCAAAGTAAGTTAAACAAATGTCTTAAAAGAATAGTCAAACATTAAAAAAAAAAAGGCTTGTTTTTTCTTTAAAATTGTTCAACAGTAAAATATTCTTACAGCTTAAAAGATTGAAAACAGCAAAAGCATCAAGTTTGCTAGCAAACATCATGTGCATTTTAGCTGACTTGTTAGCTTATCCAAAATCTAACAGATGGCTGAAACCAAGAACAGTTTACCTACTTGGCCTTATGTGGACACCTTAGGCTATGTCAAATATTTAAATATAAACACGCAGTCACAAACAGTAATATTATTATTCTGTGCTGTTTTTCTTTGCAGCCCTTCTGCAGCAGAACCTGCTGTCTCTTCCCAGCCAGAGCCCAACTGGTCTTCTTCAGCATCAGCCTGGCCTGGCTCTGACTCCACAGGTAAGTCCAGAACACTTCTAAGTGTGCTGCACCAGAGGCAGACAATAAGACAACAGGTGTAAAACTGCTTCATTTCTGTGGAAGCACATTTGACAAACAAATAAATTGTGGTTAAGCTTTGGCTAATTTTAGATAACGGACAACTTTGTTGAGGTTTGGGAGACATCAAAGTCATAATACATTTAAAAAAAATAGTTTACATCATCAAATCTGAAAAATGTTTCCACCTGACCTCCTCGGATTTAGCTGATTTTTATTGTTTAGTAACTTCAGTCTGTTGATTGAAGGCATGCAAAATTTTACAATGCCTTCAAAGTTAGGTCCGAAAAATAGAATTTTCCAACAAAGTTCCAAGTCAGAATTTTCATCTGCAAATTGGAGTCCCAACTTGGAAAGTTATAGCAGCCTCACTAATCTCACATTAATGGTCCAAGATGGTGGCGGTGAATGTAAACATAATAAAACTGCAAAACTTGTAATCTGTCCTTCCTTTGTTGTATATTTGTAACTTGCAAAATAAACCATATAAAGAGTGCTGACCAGGATCTGCACATGAACATGGTGCAGCATTGTGTTTAAGCACCAATAAAAAACTACTAGTGCTACATAAATTGCTACAGCTTACTTAGCTGAGTTTAAATATGTCAAATTAATTTATATTGCCATTTTCACAGATGAAATTTGTAAAGTGCGTCACAGTAAAACACAAGAAATAAAAGTATAACATAACTTTACTACTGGAACAACTCAGGAATGACGTCACACCCACCTTCATCATCCGGTTTCCGAGGTATCTGGAATGTGGAAAAAATAATACATTAAAAAATTAAAACGATGGTATTCTCCTTTAATACACGCTACCCACTCTCAAGCTATGTCTTCAAAGCTTCAAAGGAAAAAAAAAACATCTTCTTATAACTCTTTTTTTTTTTAACTTGAGATATTTATTGAAAAGTAATCATTTCAATCTATGAAAATCTTCCACTTCCTCCTGCGTGCGCCAGCACATTACAAACTTCTCCAGCATCTAAACTTGTTTGATCCAAGCTGTCATAAAGCAAATGTGAACACCGGTGATGTTTCTCTATTTCACAACCTTAAGTTAGATTAGCATATGTTAAATTAAGGCTATATTAGACATTTACATTGATGCAGAAGGAATCACAGCTGGAAAATGAGCCTTTTATCAATATGTAGGTAAAAAGGAGACCTTTCATGTGATATGATCAATTGTTTTGACCAGCCACCTATCAAACAACATAATGACATTTTAAGGATTCATGCCATGAAGCTCCCGGCACACAGTTTTTGTGCTGATGTTAATGCCAGAGGATGTTCGGAGCTCTGCAGTTACTGAATCAGCAGAGCGTTGGTGACCCAGTGACCCTGCTCTGTAACTTTACGTGGTCGCCACTTGACGGCTGCCTTCTGAACGTTTCCACTTTGTAATAGTGCCACTTACAGTTTATCGCAGAATATCTAAGTGGGAGGAAATTTCACAAACTGACTTGTTCCACTGGTGGCATCCTCTTACTCTTATGATCGAATTCAGTATGCTCTTTAGAACAATACATTATTTCACTATTGAGCTTATTTTGTGTTGTCTTTACCTAACCTTGTATAATCTTCAGGGATAGTGTTGCTTTTAAATTAGGAGAAAAATGAGTCAGTGAATTCACAGCAAGCCAAGTCAAATGTTCTGCATTTTGCACACTCTGTCTAAGGAATCGTCCTTAATTTGACCAGTATTTCCAGTAGAGAGGAGACTCTAAATAGTCAGAAATTTGTATACGGGCTTCACATCTTAACCTTTTGAGCTAAAACAGAGCAAACTAATAATGCACTAAGATACACTGCCAAACGGAGGTTCAGAAAGCAAAAGAAGACAGTTGTTTAATTAAGTTTAGATATGTAATAAAGGGGAACAGTTACTACAAAGGATAATCCTCCTTTCTGACTCTTAGAATGATCATAATTTACAAAATGAACATGTTTTATTTATCGTGTCCTGGAAGTAGTTACCAATCACAGAAAGTCATCAGGAAAGTGTTTAATGAGGGTTGCAAAGGACTGTTTTTCCACAGACTTCTCAACAGTCAAAAGTCCATTAAACTCATAGCAACTCCAGAGAAGTCGCCCCCTGCTGGCCATTAAACAGAACGTGAGTTGAAGGCACCTCAGCTGGCTTCACTGTTCAGCCCAGAAAGCGACATCTATGATCCTGCCAGGAAACTAAACAGTAAAAGCTGAAGTTGAAGCTTTTGTCCTGCATATGCATAACAGTCATTTTTTGTCTCAGTGCAGTAAAAACTTGTGTATTTTTTTTTTTTACCTTACATCACCTGGAAACTGAAGATTTCCCTCTGTGATGTTTCTCTGATCCAGGCTATGGGTCGCTCGGGTCTGGCAGGACCTTCCATGGAGAACCACATGGACATGTCCCACCTGCAGATGCCCAAACACATGTCGGTGCCTCCACAGGAGGAACCTAACGAGCTGGAGGATCTGGAGCAGTTTGCTAAAGCATTCAAACAAAGACGGATCAAACTGGGTTTCACTCAGGTAAATCAGGCCCTATAAAAAGACCTGAAAGACGTTATTCACTCAGTCGGCTCACATAAATGCATTTTGCATTGACTGTTTTCTCTTTTTATGCTGCAAAAAACATAGAGAAAGTTACACAAGACTCTGGGTGTTGCAACATGCTCATGAAAACCAGATGGTAGTTGTGTGGTTTTGACCTGTGGTGACCACACTTAATTTATTCAGTTATGCATCAGAGTCCTGATTTTTTTTTAAGACCATGTTTTCATAATCTTATAATTAGAAATTAGGAGGCTGGAGCCTATCCTAGCCAATAATCCACCAATCATTCCATGATTTAGGTTTATACTGTATCTAGCTTCACCTTTATCTTTAAATAATTAGCCTATATCTTACAGATATTACAGATTTCTTACTGCTTTTGCTTGGATACTTAATATAATAATAATAATAATAATAATAATAATAATAATAATAATAATAATAATAATAATAATAACAACAACAAAAACATATATGGTCACAGTTAAGCAGGTTGAAAAAGAGGGCAAAGAAGGCCACATGTCCACCCTCATGATTTCATAACCACAAGTCATTTAGGAGGGATTTAAGAGTTCATTGAGATAAACGATAATCAGTTCCAGAAGAGTAAAACAAGACTCTGGCACCACTAAGTGTTCAATATTGCTGGTTTGCATCAAGGGAATTTCCATAAACCTTGCATGAGAAAATAGAGGGGCGGATGGATCGTTTCTGACAGAATATTTACAAATTAGCCAGCACACCAGGTCTTGCCTAACCCCCTGCCAGTCCTATGCAGTTTTATTTTTTTATTTTTTATTTAAAAGATACAACTAACTACAATGCCTCTTTATAGCCTAGTGTTACCTGTTAAATCTCATTAATTGATTTTATAGCCTTATAAAAACAGTTTAAAGAACTTTAAAGAAAAAAGCTACAGATCCAAATGTAATGACCATTTTTCACAGTTTCTAAACCTAACCAAGTAGTTTTTAGTACATACATTTAATGACGAAGTTCATAGTGCATAAATCCAACCAAGAAGTTGTATCCGAATAGTGATGAAACTTATCTAGAAAAGGACAGCGCAAGCGAGAAAGAGATAAGTAAATTAAGTTAAACAGAGTGCAAAACTCAAAGTCATTAGGGAGGGATTTTAATCTGTTACAATGAGCCATGATCAGTTGTGTAGGAGAAAAACTAGTACTTGGCAGTCCTGAGTCTTTTTTTGGTTTGGTTTTTGAGAATTTCAAATAGTGCAGAAACCTTCCATGGAAGAATAGTTTGGCAAAGGGATCGTTTCTGCATTGCAGGCCTTGGTTGATCGCTAAATGTAAACAGTTGTAATTATTAGTAACTAAAGCTATCTAGCAAGTTCCCATGAAAGTCAAAAAAGATGGAAGTTGGGGAAAAAATAAGCAAAACCAATTGTAGGTTGAAATCAAACACAAACGGTGGTCTCATGGCTTAAAAACCACGATTTGCTGATTGATTGGTTTTGCATGAGAGATCCATCAATGCTTTGTGTTCTGTTGTGTTTGTACTCACAGGGAGATGTTGGCCTTGCAATGGGAAAACTCTACGGGAATGACTTCAGCCAGACCACAATCTCTCGATTTGAGGCCCTGAACCTGAGCTTCAAAAACATGTGCAAACTCAAACCTCTGCTGGAGAAATGGCTGAGCGATGCCGGTACGCAGCAACTCTTATTATGTTTCCTATACTACCATTAAAATTGTAACAAACTATTCTTCCTCATCACAACAAGTTTTTTCACCTATTTTCACGAGCATTAGTTCATATAGTACAGCCTCTGCTGATCACAGAAAATCAGGATCTGAAAATCTGCACAGGAAAAAAATGTTGTTAACTGTTAATTATAACTGTTAATCCACCAGTATGTGCAAGCTTTTTAATCAAGATGATATTTGTAATGCTAAAATATAATTATTGCTTTGATTCATGAATGTTTTAAAAAACATAAAAATAGTAAATCACAATTCTATTTTTATTTTTATTAAGATGCTAAACTACACTTATTTACCTTCTTCCTTCGTGAATAGAATCATTAGTTTTAGTGGTTGAATGTTATGCTTGATTAATTCGTGACTTCTTAGTGACATCCTCAAATTTGGGTATGAGTAACATGTAACGTGAGTTTTTTGCCTGTATAAATAGCAATATAATTTTTAGTTTTTAACACATTTTAGTTAGATTTCTAAATAAATTGAGCAATATATTTTTGACCAATAAATAAATTGTAAAAAAAAAAATGCAGGATGCTGGATGGAGCAAATGTGACAAATTAAACTCATGTATGCAAATTAATGTTTGTTTGTTTTTTTTTAATTGTCAGAAGATTCAATAAATATTCAATTTTTCTGGCTATCATTTCGTAGTCCAGCCTTTACAGGGTGAAGCACTATTTTTTTTTTTGTTATTTATACCTGAATTGGCCCTAATAAAATATGAAACGCCTGATCAGTCATTACATGAGCTAACATGCAGACATAAGAAGTCTGGATTTAACACTAAGGAATGCAGATACGGCTGATGTTGTTAATCACACCTGTGGGTTTACAAAAATGTCTGCTACAGCTAAACCCATCAGATATCATCTTCTCAGAAATGTTGAATATGTAAAAAACTAATACTGGGGCACAAAATATGTTATAAAATCTAAGAATCTCATTTTTTACATCAGAGAACTCACCTTCTGACTCGATGAGCAACTCCAGCTCTCTGCCGGCTCTGATGGAGGGCTACGGGCGCAAACGGAAAAAGAGGACGAGCATTGAAACCAACATCAAAATGACTCTGGAGAAACGTTTCCTGGATGTAAGACTCATTCATTACTTGTCTTGTTGTTGTTAAAAAATTTGAATTTGAATTTGAATTTGAATTTCATGGTGAGCATGGTGAAATCCTTTATAACTGAATAAGCGTTACACGTTAATGAATAAAACCTGGAAAAATCTGTCCTGTAGAAGGAGATATCTAAAACTTGGGTTAGTAAAACACAGTATGATGCAAACAAACAACATTGTTATAAGCTCTCCTCTGTTAGAGGACTATTGTGGGAGGGAAGGTAATAAAAGAGGTACATCAGGAATGTTAAGATGGTGGATGACTGTAGACATGAGCTGGCTGAATCCATGAACACAAAGAAATTAATAGGATAGTCCTGACAGTTGGCCTTCAGCCTCCACTCTTTGTTCCCTCTGCTGCCGTGCAGGCGTTCTAGTTTATGCAAATGTCCAACTACCATCGGCTGCAGTTTTGAGATGGGCCTCTCAGTCAAGAACATCTCCCGTGTGGACCTAACTCTCATCTGTTTTTATATTTGATTTTTATTTACAATTTAATTTTAATTTTATTGAGCTTTAGAATCTTTTTAGTGACGACCAAGTAATTTTCTTTTATCATTGCTTAATACGGTGCTCATTCAATAACCTTGGACACTCATTGTTTGTCAGGCAGATATCAACGTTATGCACCTCCTATGCAAAATTACAAGGTCAAAATCATGCATATCTCTGAATTTCAGAACCCTAAGCCCAACTCTGAGGAGATAACCCTGATCTCAGAGCAGCTGTCCATGGAGAAGGAGGTGGTTCGAGTTTGGTTCTGTAATCGTCGCCAGAAGGAGAAGAGGATCTACTGCCCGACGGCAACTCTACCTGTCAAGTCTCACACCTACAACTCCAGGATGGTTAGCCACCTGATATATGCTTTCTTTGACTTGGCAGAGCACTCTTATGTCTGCAGAGAGGAAATGTTTAATTATCTTTAATTATAAAAGTCCAAGTATAGTGTGTAAGTTGTTAGCCACGCAAAGTAAACAGGACTTAAGTTGGACTTTTCTTTGAGCCAAGCACTTTAAACGCCTCCCAAGAGGATTGGTAGATATATTAGAGGGCTACCTATAACCTGCTCTTTGTAATGCCAGTATGTTTAACCATCCTAACATCCATTTTATTGTTTCAGGCCTCTGCATCCAGGTCCTACAGCCCTCTGGCTTCAGGTGGAGGCAAGTCCCATCCAGCTTCAATAATGTGCCTTTCACTGTCACGTGTATACAGTAATCATCTGTATATGCGTACATGTTAAATAATATTTTAACCTTGTTTTTACAGTTTCTTCAAGTTCATCCCCAAATAGTATGAGCCGTGAGGCATCTCCCAACGGTCTGTCTGCAGCCTCCACCTCTCTAACCTCTCCAGTCAGTGCAGCTTCCTACAGCACGCCAGGGTAAGAAAGAGTCACACAGACACCCCGTTTTTCTGTAAAAGATCTTTTTTCCTTCACTCCAGCATCAATATTAGTTTTAGGATGTCAGCTCAGGACATTGTTACCATGGAGAGAGTGTTTCACAAGCCGTCATCAATAACTGGCTGCTTCACATCTATTCCAAAAACAATGGAAACTGTTTGTTTAACTTTTCCTCAGAAACTGAAAAAATAATTAATTTGCTTAGATATCCAATCCGTCAGCACTTAAATAATGTCTGTCATTTGAGATTTAAATGAGCAGTTTGTCATTTTATTGGCACATGAGGAGAGTGATGCCACTTCCAATAAAAATAAAACTAAAGCCAATAAGCAGTTAGCTCAGACAAAAAGGGATGCTTGAGGTGGATTATGTGCAGGATTTTAACAGATATGAAAAGGTGGCATTGTTCTTTTTGTTTAAGACTTTTTCAGCACTCTTTTGCAACACACACAGACGTATTGTCAAAACTCTGATTATTACGCAAGCCTAGGAAGTATTTCCTCATAAATCGGCTGTGTGGCAGGCAGGATATGGACACACCATGCAAGATTCAGGATGGAACATAAACTGAAGAACTGCTTTAATGCTGAAGTCTTACAAAAATTAAAAAAAACAAAAAAACAATGGCAGAGCACACAGCCGAGTGAGAGGACGTGACAAAGGGCAATAGGAACACTGAAGTTATAAACACACACGAGGTGACAAGGGGAGTGGATACACACATGACAGCTGAACCTAACTGAGAAAACAAGACAAGGGAAGTAAAATCTAAAACAAGACACTGAGATTCAAGGAATAAAACACAAGCCAAACGGAAGTCATGATGAAAAGCAAAACCTCAGAATATAAATGTAAAGGAACAAACCAGGAAACACTGTAATACGTGAAATACAAAACTCAAAACAAATAACTCACAAGGAAGAGTCGGGGACCGTGACAGTTTCCTGGTTTGTGTATTAATTTATTCAGTTTATTCTTCAAATGATTTGCTTGAGGAGCTTGGTTTTCTGTATCTATATATGTATGTGGAAAAACACTGCGCTTTTAGGTTTTCCCCTTGACTGATGAGCTATTAAGATGAGTTCAGGTTTAAAAATAGGTCCAAAAATGAAGGACAACATATGTATATTTAAAACAGCATGGCTTTCTTTCATTAGTTCTGCTCTTTTTTACATACAGATTTAAATGCCAATATTAAAAATAAAACTATGGAACTTTTTTTAAAAAATTGTATTTATCAAAGCTACTTTCAGCTGCACTTTTATTCACAGTGGGCAGCGCCACATGTTTAGTTGGTCCAGTTCTTTTACACTGGATGCGTTTTTAACGTATACGTTAAAAAACTGATTCTTACAAGTGTGGCGTGTACTCACAACATATAGAGAGTGCCTTATAAAGATTTAAAATATCAAATCACATTTGGCCTCTGACCCCTTCTTCAAGCTAAATAGACTAATCTGAAGGTCAAACTAATAATAATGCCATATAGGGCTACTTGAAATTTTGTTTTAGGGAATGATATATGGGGATTCTAAATAACACGTTACTTTGGGCCTTTCACCTTCCCTTCTCTGCTCTACCTTTAAAGCCTGGCACTCTGGGAATCACTCATCTACAAAAATACATTTATCAGAATTTTTTCCTGTACTTTTTAAAGACATTTGCCTAAGAGCTTGCGATCTTCCCTCTGGTCTTTCAGGTCATGGTACCGCACATGGAACCATCCCACGTATCACCACTGAAAAACTGTATGACATGAAGTTTTTGAAGGTAGTTCTCTTCTAGAAGGATGCATGGAGTCGCTCATTGTCCCGTAACACACATGGTTACAGCTACAGGTGAAAGCTCACACGGACACATGAGACAAAGAAGCGGGAGCAGCACAAGCAGAGGACTGCGTGCCACCACTCTTCTGTCAACACTCACTTCATTGCTCATGCAAGTCCCAACAGCCTTCAGCTGTTTGATTTGTGTTCAAGTGACTCTTTATTCAGTTGCAAATATGAAGAACACACACACACAAATCACACACACACAAATATCCTAAACAATGGAGGGAAACGTCCTGTCTGAGCCTGTAACTGCCACCACTTAAAATAATTTATATTGCGCATCAACCTGTTTATAATGCCATCTTTCTCCTCTCATCTGTTGTTTTTTTAATGTTTATATTGTACTTAGTGTTGATTTCAGGGTGTTTTTAGGGATTTTACAGGTTTTATGTATGTTTGTTAGTGCTGCAACTTACTTCTTTTATTCAACACTGTACTCTCGCTGTACCTGAATAAGATCTGGACATGTCACATGAAACGACTTTATTTCAGTTAAAAAACACGTATAAAAACAAACAGAAATGCCATGCCCTGTGTCAAGCTCATTACAGATGAAACTTTGAGCCATAATTTGAATTTCATCGTGCCATCTGGCTCTCATCAAAGCTCTGAATGGGCTATTTGCACAGTTCATTAACAAATCGCATATGTGTTAGACACTTTTATGGATATTGAGTTTTATGGCAGATGTGGAAGTTTCTTCAAACCGTTTAGACCCTTGGCGGGCAACTCAGTGACTCCTAACAGTTACATTACCTACATCCTGAAATAATAACAGATGGGGATTTTTTGTGCCATTTAACACTCAAGTTTTCCAGAGAAATAAACAAATCTCCTTTGTATCATAATGCATACGTAAAAGGCTCTTTTATATTTCAAACAGATAAGTTAGAATAACGTGTGTCTGGATCACACTGCTCTCCATTGTGTCCTATAGCTCTCGAGAATGCCTGCCTCTTTTGCATAACTTTGCAGCTTTGACTGTTCTGCAGGTCATTGCAGAGCACAGTGCGGGAGTTTCTCAGCTGCTAAACGCTGTTGGTTTAGGGCTATATTAAAAAGATACTCAGCTAATGGCTGAGAAACACCATCATTGTGTTTTGCAGAGAATCTGTATTCAGTGTGGAGGCAACAGCAGGGACTATGTGCCCAATCAGATCTGCTTAGAGCTGGCTGATCTCTGCATTAAGCACATACCCAGTTTTAAATGTCGTCTATGCATAACACACTACTTTAACAGCTGCAGTCTGAATGTTTGAACGACCTGTAAGAGTGTTTCATAATGACACTTTCTTGTCACTTTCTGTGTTTAGCTAAGCTGTGATCTCCTGTTATCGTCAAGTTTAAGAAAATAAGTCCAACAAATCACATCAAAGTAGCAAAACTGCCTGCAATGCGCCCTCTGACATGGATCAAATCACAAGAACTACACACAACTCTTATTGCTGGTTTTTGGGGTCTTTGTGGGATTTGTTGACAGTTTGTTGACAGTTGTAAAATATAAAATATCACCAGACCTTTTTTTTTGTTTTGTTTTTAGTTTGGAAGTGGAGCACTTAAGCAAGTGTTGACAGAGTTTCTCTTTATTTTGTAGCTCGTAGCTTGCTCTGTCCTCAGTTCACTTGTGTTTGCCTCTCTGCAGTTTCTGTTTTGAGTGTCCATTGTATATTTTTTGTCCGGGGTTAATGTTTTGCAGTGGGACCAAACTCCAACTTCAGCCATAAAATGAAAACAGCCACTATATTTACTGTATGTTATGTAATGTTACAGTCATGTTTTTACTGATGTAACTGAAGCTACCACTGTAAAGGTGAAAATGGAAACAGTGACGTGTGATCCTCTGAGTCTCAGAGAATCGTTTGTATTTACCTCATACTGAATGTTTATTAACATTTATTTACTTTCTTTCAATAAAAAGAGGTTGAACTTCTGTGTTGTTGGGGTATTTTTGTCATGACGGACAGTGTTTCATACCCAGCATTGGCAGTGTGTTCAGGATCGTTGTCATGCTGAAAAATGAAGCTGCTGCTAATCAGATGTTTTCCATATGGTATTACATGGTGGGGGGATCCAAATCTGATTTCATGATTCCATCAATTTTGACAAGATCTCCAATAGCACTGGCAAAGATGCTATTGCAACACTATGGCAGAGCCTCCACCATGTTTCACACTCACTGTTGTACCTCTCTCCCGACCTCCTCCACACACACGGATGAAGAATTGAACCAAAAGTTTAAAATTTGTAATCATCCTTCCATCAGACGGGTTGCCACTGAGCCCATTTCTGATGAGGCTTCAGTGAAAAGTTGATAGATTAACTGATAAGTGAAAAGTAGACAGTGTACATAGAAACACTTTCAATGATACTTTAAAAATGACATGTCTAGTTTCTTGAACGCAAAATATAAAGTGGTGAGGGGTGACTCAAGACTTTTGCACAGTTTATTTTTATAATTAATTACCAAAAAAGAAATTCAAATTTCACATTTTTTGAGATGCACTGGATTTTAATTTATTCTCTCCAAGGCATGAGGTAAATACGCACTCACACAAAGAAATAAATAACATATTATTAAAATCACCCACATCCACTGCACAGTAATATCTTTAGTTAGACAATATCTCAGTCTAATATCTTATACTCAAGTTTCCGCAAGTCTCAGAGTGTGCATAAACAACTGACGTGTTCAATTCCATGAAATCTTACTGTAACCCACATCTGAACCTCCCAACTAAACACCAAATGCAAATATCCGAAAACAGGAAAATTTCCAGTTTGAGCTCCGGCTTAAATATCCCATAATTTGCAAAGATTGTTAAAAATCTCAGATTTCCAGTTTTGCCTCAGGACATCAGGCATCGTCATCTCAACTGCAGCTTTTCTGTTCCTGTCATTCACCACCCTCATATATCCCCATGAGTAAGGAAATCCTATATAATCAAATATTTAGTTTTAACTGGCAATGAATGAGGCACATCCATTGTGGTTTAAAAACACTTCATGGTATTGATTCTTTAACTCTGTAATGTCAAGTTATTCATATTTGATACATGGCTTTTACATCAGTGTGACTTTTTTATCACCTGAAAATCCTGACGTATACAATCAGACACATGCATACTGTAAGCAATACATTACACAGAAATGCCACATGTAGCAAAATCATGTGCAAATTTCTTTTTTTTATTTGTCAGGAGGCTTAATAAACATTCAAGTTTCAAAAAAAGTTTGCATTTACAGCGGTTTAGGCTTTACAGTGTTAAGAAACAATATAAGAAAAAAATCATTTAGTCTGTTTGTTGTTCAATAATCTACACTAGAAACCGATCGTCTCTTTTAGTTTAAATCTACCACATACAGCAGCAGAACTGACAGCATCTTTATTCAACTTAAAAAAATCTTCCTTCAAAAAGTTAACATGAAAAGCTTCAGTGAAGTAGCTTCATGACCCCATGCCTCATGCAAGACTGGTAAAACCATCTGATCCAACAGTCTCTAGCTTTAGTTAACTATAAGTAAACTACTGTGTAGTTAATTTCTTGGTAATTTTGTGGAAAAACAATCAATAATTCCCCAGCTTTCATCATAAGTACGTCGTACTATGGGCCGTATTATAGATTGGCTTAACTTCCAAGAAAATAAAGGAGACACAAAATATACTGTTAGTAATTTAAGTATTGTGCAATTTCATGTTATTTGGGGCAAAAACACAATATTTCACAATAGTTTCCGCTGTACTTTTTGTAGCTGGGGTCATATTACTTACTTAGCTACTTAAAATTACATAAAATAGTATTTGTAGGCAAGTCATTTTTAATTTTCTGGAAGCTCATGGAGGTTAAACCAGCTCATAATACGACCAAAACACTGAAAAGTACAACGTATTTGCAATGTAACATACGGAAATATTGTTATTAAAATTACTTATTTACAACTTAAATTTTATTACAGTGTACTTATGTCTGTATGCAGTATTTAAAATTATTTACAGTATCATTTCTCTCCTTTCACAACACTGATTGTACTGACTACACACGTGGCACGTTACACGAACCCTGTCAGCCACGGCCACGTTATAAAGTGTTAGCCAATTTCCAAATTTGACATCACAGAACTTCCTTACTTAGTTCCTTACACTTAGTTTTCAGTTACACGGTGACTTTCTACTGCATGTAAAACCCTCTGAAGCAGTTTCAGACTCAGTCAGTGTTCCAGCTTGTTTGCCTAAAATGGCATTGAAAGGGCACAAACACCAAGGAGACAAAAAAAACAGTGTAAACCATTCAATGCTAAAAGAACATTAAAAACAAGTAAGAATGAGTGGATTAGTCCTTAAAAAGACATTTGTCTCCTTATAGAAGCATACTGTCGTACAGTTAGAAGGCTTCAATCATCAGCTCAGCAGAAGATTGTCCAAGTTGGAAGTTAAAAAAAAGAGTTAGTTGGTTGTACGGTGAGGTCAGTTTCATCATTGTTTCCTCCCTTTGTGTGTTTTGGTTTTCACTTTGATTTCAGAGCTCATTGAACCTGCAATAAAAAGTCACAGTTAGTTTAGTGGATGACAAAATTCCTGCAGGTAGAGTTTTACGCGGTCATTTGTCGAGAGGCTGATCAGAAAAACCAATACTATAATCATATGCTACACTGTTAGCTTAGCAGCAAACAACAGAGATGCACTGATTTCAGCTTATTTCATTTCATTCTGTGAGTATACTAAATGACTCATGTTTATAATAAAACACCTAATCTGGATTACTGTGCAGATGTGTTCAGGTTTACAGAGGAAAACAAATTACTTTAGGGTTGGATTAAACTAGCACAATATAACTAATTCCTGTGCTTTACTTTTTCTCAAAAGTGTATTTTGTTGCCTCTGGGAAGAGCCAGGCTAGTGGCTTCCACCTGCTTCCAGTTATTATATTAACGATCCTAATACATTTCCCCAGCTCCCTTTTTAATGCACAGGCATGCTTCTTTTCATGCAACCTCTAGAGAAACTGAGGCTTTTTTGTAAAAAGCCTTCCTATTGTGTTCCATTTTTACCGGCTGTGTTAAACATATTTAAACATCAGTCTTTTCTGTATTGGATTACTTAATCTCTAGGGTTCCCCGAAATGAATGTAAACAAAGAAGGTAAAGGCTGAAAAAAGAGACAGTGGCGTTGACGATGATACTCACCCTCTGGCTCTGGGTCCACACCCACACCATCTCTGAGCTTCCTTGTAAACAAGCCTGGACAAAAACTGGAGCCAAACAAAAGAAGTGTCAGTTGGGGGTTTGAGTGGTTCTCATAAGTTCTCTGGCATACTCACAAACCACAATATTTAAAAATCATTAGGAATAAAAAAGGATCCATGTGGAGCTTAGTGAAATAAAGGTCCACAGGACAGCATTGGCAAACTATTGTTTGCTCCTTTTCTCAACATAAATCAAGTGAATTGAGGTTAGCTTCGCGTCGGCAACGTCTCGACTTACATATTCTGCATTGCACCAGTAACATACCAGTAATGTTACACAAAGACTCGTCATGTAACTTACATTGCCAATAATGGACTATTATGACATGAGACTGGTACCATGTTTGTGGTAAATATAACCGACTCTGCAGAATTGTATGTTCAGATGTTTCACAGACTCAGCCGGCTCCTTCTCTATTCAAGACGCCAGTTTTACCGGTGCCAATTTATTTTTAAATTAAACTATATAGTCTAAAACATTGTTTTGTTTTAGACTGTAAGAAGTTCTGAACAGTTTTTCTTTAATGTCCATTTTGTACCAAAGGAAGCTGTTAAAAAAGCTTCCAACTGGAATAAGTTACCTTCAGATTTTCATTTTTTTTTGCCTATTCAGACATGCTTTGTTTTGCTACCTCACACCAGTCTGCTTATGTTTTCAATGTGAAGACTGTTGATTAATTCTGCCCACTGCACTTTATTTCGTTATTAAATGAATGAATTACTAAATTTGTTTGTAAGGTTGTAATTTTGTTTGTTTGGTAACTTTAGCTGTCAATTTTGTTGTCTTTGTTGTGTTACACTCACCCACTTTATTAGGCACACCTTGGTAACAACCACCTTTATGTTCGTGATGCTCGAGTTGCTGCTGTGCGATTGGCTCATTAGATATTTGCCTTAATAAGCAGCTGAACAGGTGTACCTAACAAAGTGGCCAGTGAGTGTACAATGTTTAATATCGTTTTCTCGTATACATTTGTATCAGCATAAAACCGCTGAGAATGTTTGGAGCCATTCTCAGCGGTTTTATGCTGACACGATAATAAATTTAGGATGAACCACCACAACAATCCTTAAATTAACTGGTTGGCATTTGCATTAAAAAGGAACAAGTTTATTCTATGTGAGTGAACAGATAAAGATTGCTCTCTGACCAGGCAGGCTAAGATGTCAGCAGAGATGAGCATGTAGAAGACATTGTTCCAGCCAGTTGGTGAGATCACACCGGCCAGCAGAGGACCCAGTGCAGCTCCTGCAGAGAGCATAAAAATAGGTCATTAAGTGTAAACGCATAAAGTCGTCAAGAATTATTCAGACTTAAATAAAAAGTCAGGAGGGAAAACACAAAATGGAAAAATAGACATTTCCTTTTAAATCACACATTAAGTACTCAATTTTCTAGTCTCTCAGGACTTCATCAGTTTCCATCTTCTTTTTTACAGTTACACAAACTGCTGTCCTGAGTACAAAAGACAAAATAACTGTTTATGTTCTATGTACGCTTTTAATTTTAATTTAAACCATGAGACGAATGTGGACAGAGATGCAAGGATGCATTAATTATATTAGAACTAATAGTCTCCATGTTTTATAAAGAGTATGATATGAATACTAGTACATGACCACGCTAAAGGACTGTTTAGTCTTTTGTTATATGGTTGCTAGGCAACATGACGACGCATCAAGCCTAATTAAAGTTTTATGGATATACATTATAGATGTCATTTTTGTGAAATTACAGATCATACAGTGCTTTTATATGGTGCCATAGGTAAACTATGAGTAAAGTCCAATGTCTACCTCATTGGCAAGTGGTTGCTGGGCAACCTGATGACATCATAATAACATCGGATATAGAAAAAAACCTTGAGGGGAATAAGATGTACCTGCGTGTCGGGTTTCATTTCTCACCTCCTGTTCACACAGGAGGAGTTCATGGGCAAACAAACTAACAGTAAGATGTAAGCTCTATTTTTAGTGTCCACCATCTCCTGAGGGCAATACAAACACTTTTAAAGGCTAAATGGTTTCACCATGATCAACAGATAGGTGCTAACTTTACCTATCTGCAGTTTGGTGCTGAACTGGTGACATCTGGAAGTTTTTAGGGGCTTTTTTTGAGACAAAAGAGGCTTAAAATCCTCTGCTGACTTAACCAACCCGTTTGTTCCTTAGTTATTATGATAATTACTGATGAAAGAGTTAAGATCAAGATTTTTTTAACGTTTAGTCATGATATGCATACCTATTGATCCTGTCCCATCAATAATTGCGGTCACTGTCGACAGCGCCCTGGCGTTTCCTTTCAGACTCTCGTGTGTCCCCTGTGGCAACAGAAGCATCATTATGCCAATGGCGGAGACATTTCTAAGTAAAGCAAAGGATTTCCCATGATGCCTTAGACCTTACCAGGTCAGCAGATACAGCAGTTGTGATAAGAGCATAAGGTCCATTCACCAGGGCTCCACACAATAACAGCATACCTACACAGAAAGAAAAAGTATAAGTGAGGGCTGAATCCACAACGAGTCTATCTAATCTATTTTCAGTTCGAGCTAAGTTCAGGTCAATGTAAGCAAATGTAAAGAATCTGTGAGTTATCTATGCTCAAATAATAAATTAATAACTCTGAAATCTTTCTACTGAAAACATGATCAACAAATCAATGAAATCTTGCATCTTGTGATCAATTTCCAGACGTCTTGATTATCAAAAATGCTTTACTGTGCAATACTTCCTGTCTCCTCTTTCCTTCATATTCTTGAATTTTACTTTGATTTTGGCAAAGTGACCAGTTTACAATCATGACCATACGCTACATACACTCCATAATATTGTGTCATAAACTCTTAAACTTTATACAAGAATGTAATTTGAGTAAACATTTTAACAACAAACAACAAGGTGTTTTTAATATGATTAGTATCAAAGTTAAAAATGACAAAATAAAGAAGTCTTACCGATTGTAGTACCGAGGCTCCTCTGCCCGATGGAATTATAGAGGAAAAGCTGAGAAGAGAGCAAAACAAATAATCAGCCACTCAACTAATTGTGGAAAATCTGCACATGGGTGACAATTATTACATCAACCTACAGCCAGAAACCTCTCTCACATCAGTGTGAAATATCA